CAGCTGCTCGGAAATGTTGACATAAAATTGAGTGACGCTGAGTGACAACTCTACTTCCTCCCTCTGGAGGTCACATGTACATGCCCGTCCTCTAAATGGACCGCGCCCACTACGCAGGAAAAGTGTGTGTGTGTGCGTGTGTGTGTGTGTGTGTGCGTGCGTGCGTGCGTGTGTGTGTGTGTGTGTCTGTGTGTGTGTGTGTGTGTGTGTGTGTATGGTCATTGAGAAGGTGATGACTGACAAGCACACAGCTACATCACACATTGACATTGCTCACACAATATTCTTGGACTTTTAACACAAGTCACTGCGCACACGTAGAATATAAGCACGCGTATATGAATGCACACAAATTTGAACACACACGCACACACACACATACGCACACACACAAACTCTCAGCTGTTCTAGAAACCCCATACACGGACACAAACATGGAAACACAAAAATATAACCTCACACAGGCTCGGGGAGTAACGGAATGCATGTACCAGCGTTATGCATTTGGGATACAACCGCCCCCCCCCCAAAAAAAAATGTATTCCGTTACAGTTAAAAAATCTAATCAGTATACAAGTACATTTATGAAAAATGTGGATTATTTTGAAGGATTACTTTTAATGCGGCAGCCTGGTGTTCCAATGGTTAGCGCGTCGACCTCACAGTGCAGAGGTACCGGGTTCAATTCCAGCCCCAGCCTCCCTTTGTGGAGTTTGCATGTTCTCCCTAAGCCTGCGTGGGTTTTCTCCGGGTACTCCGGTTTCCTCCCACATTCCAAAAACATGCATGGCAGGCTGATTGAACACTCTAAATTTTCCCTAGGTGTGAGTGTGAGCATGGATGGTTGTTCGTTTCTGTGTGCTCTACGATTGTCTGGCAACCGGTTCAGGGTGTCCCCCACCTGCTGCCCGAAGACAGCTGGGATAGGCTCTCTCATCCCTGCTCCCCTTGTGAGGATAAGTGGATCGGGAAATGGATGGATGGATGGATGGACGATGGACCGCAGTCGAGTCCTCGATCACTCGCTCTATAGACCAATTTCCCTGAATGAAGTTAAAAACTGCTCACACTATAGCTCAATGATCGTCCCACGTACGTCTAGGTTTTGGTTGGCCAACGATTAAATGAGATAGGTCACTGTCGTAATTGGTTCAGGTTGGTTAAAGTGACTTAAAAGGCATCTATCTATCTATCTATCTATCTATCTATCTATCTATCTATCTATCTATCTTGTGAGGTGTTGCCTTCAGGGACAGTTCGAAAACGCTAATATTTTCACATGGGCTTCAATCCATCCACTATTGCATCCATCATCTTTCCATCCATCCCTGCAGCATGGGGCGCAAGTGTTTAGCATGCCTTCCTCACAGTTCTTGTGCTTTGGATTTGAATTGCAGGTGCTCAGCCTTCCTCCTGCTGTCTATTGTATTTTTCCAATCTCAAAAGCCCTAACACATCAATGTAACTTTTTTTATTTTTTTACTCCCACTGAAGCTCCATAATCATGAATTGACCCAATGGTGTGTTTAACTGTACTGCAGTACAGATTAAACAACCATAGGACAGAAAAGAACAGACAACTATGTACACAATTCATATCATATAGATTTTTTTGGTCCATCATTTTGAAACATATTTGGTATAGTGTAATCCAAAAGTAATTATAAATCTTCAAGTTAAATTACTTTAACATTATGGTCCTTGGATTATTTTACAAAATACATTTTATAACAGGTAGCTCATAACTGTGTCAGAATACATTTTTAAAGGAACCCACCCAACCCTGCACACGGATATGAATACACATGTACTGTATGACGACACATACACATACAAGCATACACAAACGTGAACACACACTTGCAAGAGTGCATACACATTGAAACTAACGCACACACTTGCCTAAACCCACACACATATGAACACATGCGCACAGATATAAACGCGCAGACACATGAATGCACCCAAATACAATCTGAACAAACACACAGATTTGAACACGCGCGTACTCCATCAACACATGCATGAACATACGCAAATATAATACACACACACACACACACACACACACACACACAGATATGAATGCACATAGATTGTATAAATACGTATACACTGTATGTTTACAAATGTCTGTGTGTATGTGTGTGTGTGTGTGTGTGTGTGTGTGTGTTGGGTGAAGCAAGAATTCATCTCTGCATCTCATCTTGACACTTTCACTACTTTGCCCTCATGACATGGCTGTTGCGTAACACGTCTGCACACGCATGTGTGCATGCACGCACGCAGACACACACGCACGCACGCACGCACACACACACACACACACACACACACACACACACACACACACACACACACACACACACAACCCAACACACACACACACACACACACACACACACACACACACACACACACACAATAAAACCTGTAGGTTAGAAAAGAAGCATGCCACCTTGACACCTTGACATGTATGAGTCTTTACCCTTGACTTGAAACCGCAATTTGACAACTTGAAACCCATTTGAAAGCCTGACCCAGGCTATTTTGACATTCTAACCTTTGTTTAAAACCCTAACTTTGTCTTGAGACACTTATTTGACACCCCAACCCTTGTTAAAAGACCAAAGGAAATTTGAGACCATGACCTTTGTTTAAAACCCTCAGCATTGTTTGAGACTCTAACTAAGTCTCAAAACCTCAACCCTGATTCGAAAACTTCATTGACACCGCAACTCAGGCTTGAAGCCATACTTGATGCTATTTAAAAAAAATGCAGAATAGTCATAATGTCAGTAAACTATTCTTGGATCTGATCCAGAACCAGCCATTCAGGACTCAGTCATTCATTCATCAGCCAATTGGTGAAGAGAAAGAACTTCTTACCTTTCTTCTTCGTCTTCTTCTTGTGTTGTGATGATTAGAGGAACATTCCAAGATGTTTCCTCACGACTCCAACATTTCTCTTGCAAGTGTGTGTGCGTTTGTGTGTATGCAGGCAAAGATCTGGTCTGGGGGGTGGGGGTTCTGGTTCTGGTCCTTGTGGCCCACGTTCTCCTCTGGTTCCCGGTCGGACTCTCGGAAAGTTGTGCTACTCATTTCCTGTTTGCTTTATTTTCTAGCTTCAACAGGAAATGGTCATGCTTTCCTCTTCCTCCCTTGTTGACACACACACTCAAGCGCACGCACACACAGACACTCACGCACACGCACACCCACAAGGGTGTCTATAAATAAATGTGATGCATATACAGTCAGGAGTGAGCTAGAAATAGACAAAACAATGATGTCATCTCATGTGTGGAGCATCCCCGGGGGTTGCTACAATATACTGTGATTTGTTTGAAGGTGCAGGTGTCTAACTTGAAACCCGAACTTGACACTCTACCCCGGCTTGAAATCCAAATCTTAGACCCCCAAACTGAATGGAAATCCCAATGGAAACTCCCTCTGTAACCCTAACACAGGCTTGAAAACCATCAATTGAAACCTTAACTTTGTCTTGAAATTTAAATTTAACATCATAATTAAGACTTGAAACCCTAAACTGACGTGGAACCATAGTCTAACCCTTGTTTGAACCTAAAACTCCGGCTTATCTTTGAACTCCAGCCATGTTTTGAAACTCTTAATTTAGAATTCTAACCCTTTGAAGCCCTAACTGTGTCTTAAAACTCGATTGACTTGAGGCCCTAACTCTGTCTTGAAATCTCAGTTTGAAGCCCTACTTTTGAATTGACCCCTGGCTCGAAACTATAAACCATGTTTGAAATTTAAAATGTCTTGAAGTGTAATTTTTAAAAGCCTAACCCTTTCTTACAAACCTAATTTGAAGCACCAACCCTTGTTTTAAAACCTACATTTGAACTCTAACCCCTTGCTTGAAACTGTAATTTGAAATCAAAACAAAGACCCAGACGTGATGGATTCTTACAGGCCGATGCAGATATTTGGAAGAATAAAATTCCGATAACTGAGTAATTGGTTACTAATTAATAAAATATGTAATGTTTGGGTCCCTTAACACTTACAATAATAAAATACAGGCAGAAAATTTGAATGTTTTATAATACTTTGTCAATTAGTACGTTTAATTTTACAGAGAAATGAGCAAAAATCCAATTTTTTTTTTTTTTGTGTTTGAACATCGTTGTCTTTGTCTTATGTTGTAATGTGTTACTGTGTTAAATTTTTTTTTAAAAGACAGGAAAGGAAAATAGGAAAAATACCCCCTCCCCCCCACAAATCTGCCAATTTTTGCCAATTTTAAAAGAGCTAATAAATGGCCAATAGAATTGGGCTGCGTACATTTCAGCTTGAAATACAACACAAGTTATGAGGTTACCACAACAAATTTTTAATATAAAATGAACATTAAACATCTTTAATACTCAACAAATTACGATAAAATTCAATAAAGTTGTGAGTCATCATTTTTATTTTCACCCAAAAAGGTACGTGATCCCCTCCGAATTCATGACCTAAAGTGATACAGAACTCAGACAGTAAAATGGTTACAAAAACATGCAATCGTGATGGTTCCGGGTGGAAGTGTGATGATGCGTTCAGGGACCGGCTCACACATAAGCTTTGGTGCTCCCGGAGCCTTCTGAAGCTTGTGCTGCTCTGTAGATGTTCATGTTATGACCTTGACCGCTTTTGGAGTAGTTGTACGAAAAATGTCTGCGTGGGAAAAATGATCATGTCGAATCACTTGTACAAATGCAAATAAGAACAAAAACTAAAAATAAACACATTTAAAAAAATGTTTAAAGACAAAAAAAAAAAGGAGGAAAAAGTAATGAGCGGTATGTCATTGCCCCCTGTGAGTGCAGAAGGGTGTACTGTACTGCAGGATGGATTTCATTGATGCATACCGTGCAGGTGGGAAGGATGAGGAGGAAGCGCTTTCTCTGCCGGAGCAACACAACATTGCACCTCCCAGCAGCGCCAGACCGGAAGCTGCCCAGCCCAGATACAGACCAGTGCCCAGCTCGAACCTGCAATGCATTCATGTGTCTTCTTCATCCTCCTTCTCCTCCTCCTTATCATCATCATCACTGACGTTGTTGTCATCATGTCATCAGCTTGAAATGACCAGTGTTGTCACCGTCTTCATGATTGTCATCTTTATCATGACTGTCAGTGTGCCCTTGTTGTCACATGATTCACGGTATCGGTCTTAATCATAATGATGATTGTCGTTTCATAATCATATTGTCATCATCATCATCATCAGAATTATTATTGACATTGTCTTCATCCTCATATTCTAATTCTGATTGTTTTTATCATCAGCATTACAATCATAATCATAATCATGTCAATGTCATCAGAATCATGATTGTTATCGTCCTGATTAATTATTGTTGTTTCACCACCATAATTATGATTGTCGTCGTCATCATCGTGATCATCATTGTGGTCATCATCACTACAATTGTCAGTAGTCATTGTCATCAATATCATCATCACAATTGCCATTGTTGCTGTAATTGTTAGCATAATTCTCGGCATCACCCTCAAATAAAGTCACCATCATTATGCATGTTGTCAACGCCATCATCACATCAACATGATTGTCGTCTTTATAGCATTGTAGCCATGATCATCATCATGGTTGTTGTCATCATGACTGTCATCACTGTCACAATCATCAAAGTTATGATCATCATCATAACATGATTGTCATTGTCATCCTGATTATCATTGTGTTATCATCACCATAAATATGATTATTGTCACCATCATCATCGTTATTGTCATCGTCATAATCACGACGGTCACCTGACTCCATTGTATAGAGGATTGTAGAAATCATGGATCACTCTGCCAGCATACCAAGACACCGCGATAAGGGTGGACATTCCTGGACAGACAGGCCGGTAAGAAGACAAACAGACAGACAGACTGTAATGTTGTCATTTGTTGGGCGTCATCGAAATTGCGTGCCGATGTTTGTCCCAAGCATCTCTTCACCTGACAGGATGAGCATGACGCCTCCACTCAAGAGAAATTGTCTTTTAACTTGATCGGAGCCTCCGCCCACTTTACTGCACTTCAGACCCAAAATGGACACGATGATTGCGGCCAGGCCCACCACCAGAGATGACATCATCAGAGCACGACACACCTGCACATGCACTGACCAAACACATACACGCATGGGCATATTGTAGTGTCTGATGTACATGTTACAAACATCCATGTACCGTGCATGTTACCAAGTTGTCGTGTCAGATATACATGTGGACAAACTATAGTGTTGGATGTATGTGTGAAAAGCGTGTGACACTACAAACTGCAAAATATAACCTGCAGCTGTAACAAAGCGCTTTCTTTACTTAACATTTAAAATACTATGTCCAAAAAGTCAGAATATTGATCCATATATGAGGTGCATCCGATTATAAGGCGCACTGATAGCTTTTGAGAAAATTGAATGCTTTTAGGTGGGCCTTATAGTGCGCAAGGTACGGTAACTACTGTAAATTCCTTTAAAAACCAAGGCATTGATGAAGTAACAAAGTTACGTTTCACAGTGTTTCAACACTGTGGACATACAGTCGTGTCTGATGATGTCCCACTGACCTGGCAGGCCAAGCAGCGTCTTGAACTTTTGACACTGCAGCGTTCCCAGCGAGGTGGCTGCACAGCTCATCCAGAGGCCCTCAAACTGCCACTGGCTGCTACTCAGAGACTCCGCCTGACTCCGAACCTTCCACAGCTGCGACGATGTGCAGCTGGACTGAAGACACCACGAAAGCACGCCTGCAACCAGGCCGCAAATCTGCAGGCCCATGGACATGATGCGCTGCACCCACAAACATGAAACAAATTTCAGTTTGACTTAGCAATGGGAAATTTGGGGGGCACATCTGTCATTCGTAGATCTACAAAAAGTTTCAAGAAGCTGAAAGGACATAAGAAGTCACCAATCATTATGGTTGCACCTCCCAGATTTTAAAAAATGCCTGAGAAACATGAAATTTGTGTGATATGTCTATCACGAATTGACCCACAAAAAAAAAAGTCAAGACGCCATACCCGAAAAGACAAAAAACAGTCAGCCGTTTAGGTTTGAATCCACCATATTAGGATTGTTTTTGGTCATTTGCAAGGGTCCTTCAGATGTTTTGACAACGTAGCCCCTGCAGACGGTTTGACTTTGCAACATAAAATTTGGTCGACATGTCTCCGTTTAATAGACCTACAAAAAAAGTCCATAAAAGCATGCCTAAAATCCCACAGGTCGTTTACCATTTCGGTTCAAAGCCGTCACTTATAGGTAATTTTGTACATTTCCATTTGCCCTTTAAAAACAAACCTGTCCCAGAGATTTTGTCCAACTGCAACCAAATTTGTAATATTTACACCAGACAGTTGAATGAAACAAATTTGTTTACAACAATTGACTTTTTGTCATTCAGTGTGGCCATAACGTGGTGGAAAAGTGTAATGAGTTGCGGTAGAACAGCCTTTACACACACACAAATAAAAAATTGACATAACATAAAACTTGTTAGATGTTTCTATTATGAGTAGACCCCAAAAAAAGACTCTCAAGAAGCCATGCCTGGAAAAAACAAAGTCTGGTATTTTGGTTGGAAAAACTGGTAGTCATTTCAGGCTCGTTTTGGCCATTTCCAGGGGTCCTCCAAAGACAAACCATTACTACAGATTTTGGCTGGAATTCCATCAAAGCCCAGAGCTTGACAAAAACTCTTGTGCAACAAAAGCGCTGCCTAGAACAGATTAATTTCATAAAAATCTGTCACTGAAAGACGCAGAACAAAATTGTATTCTCCCATGGTTCTGTGAAAGGGTTTTCCACACAATAATAAAAACACACTCAAGAAGATCTTCATGGTAAATAAAGTGTCTCAGAGTGCAGTAAGATGCGGTTAAAAAAAAGAAAAATAAGGTGAAATGTAAAAATGTTAAGCCTGAGAGGACATCACTGTAGTCTACTTAGTTTCGAAAACAATAAAGCGACCCAAATGGTCGAGTTCTTACCGTCTGCTCAAGTCTGTGGAAAGAGAGCGATGAGGAGTTGCGGTTTATTAACGTCCACAGTGGTGCTTTCAGTTTACTTGTGTGATGTGAAAGCCGATGTGAGGCATTGAGCGCTCTGAACCGCGTTTCGGGTCGACGAACTCTTCAGAAGGCCGACCCTCCAAAACACTCGTCCGTGTCTCCCCGCCAAAATCGCAGTTTCACCTTAAAACTCAGCAAGAGGCTCAAACAAACATAATTCACATTTACTTGAGGGGAAACCAATTAAATGCTATCAAGGAACTTGATTCAAGCTCATTAGTGAAGTTGGGTTTTTGGGTTTTTCTATTTTCATTTAAAAACACACTTTGTGTGTGAGAGAGCCAGTTTGTGGACTTCAGACTGTCAAACAGCTCTTGTTTGCAGGTCATCTGCTGTCAGTCAAAGTGGACTCATCTAAATTCAGTTTAAAAAAAAAATCACTCCAAAGTTTACTGGACACGGTAACTGATTTAATGCTAATTTGTCATGTTAAAAAGCAGTCTTCCCTGGTCATTTTTTTGACCTAATATGAGGCTAAATTAATTACAGAACTCCATCACCCTGGGATTTGTTGGTTTAACAGGTAGTCCAATCCAAATGCTCCCTGCTGGAGATTGTAGATGGTGCCTTTATTGGTGTCGCAGAAATACATAAAACAAAATAAAGCAAGAGGTCTGTTTACGTCACCTAAACTGTGAAAGTGGGAATCTTGCCAAAGTGCCACACCATGTCACCAAACATGGTTTTGTACTGACTTGTCAGTATAACAAGTCAGTGTAGCAAATGTTACCAACTTATAATTGTAACATTTAAATTAAAAATGGGGGCCACTGTGTCATTTTTAAGAGTGTATTATCAAAATAATGACATTGCTAGAAAGCCCTCATCCAGGGTTTCAATTTGACATGTGACTTGAAGTGGTGTTACATTTCTGACCTTGTTCCTGATTGAGTCAAGGTCAATCTCCACCCAAATTGAATCAGCTTAGTGTCTTGGCTTGCACTTTGTCAAGACAATTGGGGAAAGAATAAAAAGATCAACAATTACTAATCATGTGATGAAACATCATTTTCAAGACTTCAATAATAAAGTAAGAACTACGCTTGGAGATCTTCATGGGAAGTACGCCAAATGGCTGATCTGTACAGCAATTATTTATCAAGTTTACAACAAGTATCGATCAAGTTGGGAGAACGAGTCATTCACTCGAGTCCATTCAAACGTCCTACGTGGAGCCTCCTCGCTCGCCCCCGTTTCCGCCACCCCGACCAGTCCGTAGCTCATGCCAAAACTTAACAAAAGGCTCGCGGTTCTTCCATATCAGCTCGTGTCCAAAGAGGATGTACCAACTGGGGGAGGAAGCAGAATACAAATTGAATGCATTCAAACAACTGTTACCGGTTCATCTGCCAAACAAATTACAGTACTACAATATATAACAATTCATAAGATTGCTATTTCTTAATACGAATGGTGTACAGTTTTTGTTTGCTATGAAGGGGGAAAAGGGTGGAGGAAGCTCCTCAACTCATTTCAACACTGTCGGTACCCTCGTGTGGATTGGAGCTGTACTGCGGCCTGACCCGCTTCCAACTTACATGCCAAACATGGCGCCACCCAGGTGAGCCGCATGGTCGAAAAAGCGCCATCCCAGCACCAGACCTGCCGTATCCATGGCAACAATCGCCTTCAGTGCCTGCGCAGAGACAAAGAGAGCGAGACGAGTGAATGGACAAATGGATAGACAGAGCTTTGTCAATGGACAGACAGCTGCGTGAATATACAGGACAGTCTTACGTTGGCCGCACTGAAAGTGAACATCGGGAGGAAGATGATGGCCAGTTTGGCTTCAGGCATTTTGGTGCAAACGGCAGCAAGGATGGTCATGATGGCTCCCGACTAAAAACACGCACATCACATTTCATATTCAGCATATACTGCACAGTACCATGACGGATTATGTGATGATGACGCTTCATGACGCAGGAAGTAGCTCACCGCTCCCAGAGAGGGACCAAACCTCCCGGTGGCCATTTTGCACACGTAGCTGAAGAAGGTGGAAATCACGCCTGAGCGAGCAGGGACACACACACACACACACACACACACACACACACACACACACACACACACACACACGCACACACACACACACACACAGAACCAGATCAGCACAAATGAGCATGTGTCTGCACTTTTGTTTGTGTCTGTGTACATGTGTGTCTATTATTTGTGTACATGCTTATCTTTGTCTGCCTGTGCAGGTGTGTATTTGGATGTAAACCTGTGTGTGCATCTATTGTGTGTACGTTTCAGTGCGCGTGTGTGTGTGTGTGTGTGTATCTATTTATGACCATCTGTCAGTATGATTGTGTGCATGACTGTATGCATGTGTGTGTCTGTCTGTCTCAGTGTGTCTGCCTTCATGGGAATATGTACATCTGTATATAAGTTTGTGTATCTGTCTGTATCTTTCAGAGTGTTTTCTTATCAATAAGCATGTCTTTCCGGGTTATAGTTTTAGATTTGTTTAATTTTGGTAAATTTTTATTTCGTTTTGACTTGGTTTTTAAATGTAGTTATCTTTAGGGCACACTTTTTAATACTTCATTTTAATTTGCATTAACCGTAGCTTTTATTTTAAATATATGCAAGAGTTAAGAAAAAAAAGCTCACTTAGTGTTGTGTAAAAAAAAAAAAAAAAAAAAAAAGTAAACTACTATTCTTAATTCATAAACAACTGTTTGGCCTTTCTTTTTCTGTGCGGAGATAAAGCCACAGCCATATAAATACACAAAGTGAATCCTGAAAGCCCATGTATGATCGTAACAGAAAGGACATTTTCGCTATAATTACAGTTCGTTTTAGGTATGTGAGAGCTAGTTTCAGTTAGTTTGGTGTCTGTCTACCTATGTATGTTTGCGTCTGTCTGTAGCTCTGTGTGTGTGCGTGTGTGTGTGTTGTTGTCTGCGTCAATGCCCATATTTATCTGCCGATGCGTGTCTACCTGTGGATGTGTCGGTTAGCGTGAATGTGTACTATATGGGTCTGTGAGTGTGTGTGCATGTCGCATTATTACCAGCCGACATATAGACAGCCAGAAATTGTTCCCTTCCCAGCATGGAGACGGCGCTGGTGGAGAAGCTCCACAGGACATACATGTTGGCGGCCATATGGAAGAAGGACACGTGGCTGAAGGTGGACAGCAGCATCGGAGAACACAATGTCTCTGTAGTCAAACACGCACACAATATATTAACACAAATAGGAATTTGATTGCCATTATAAAAGTGCCAAAAATTATGTTTGTCTGACTGGAAACGGGGTCTGCGGTGAAGTACTTGAACATGGAGCGCTGCAGCCACGGGACTCGCCAGCAGCAGAACACAACCACGTTAGCGGCTAGGATGGCTGAGAAACAAACGCGACACAGTGGATATCATATCTAACTTTAAAAAGACAAGATGAGCAAATGGACAGACGTATGAGTGAAGGTACAGATAGACAAGTAGGAGTATAAACGGATGAACAAGTGGAGAGAAAGTTAGGGGAAGAGAGAAGGACAGGTAGATGGCGTGACCGGACCAAAAAAAAAAAGAAAAAAAGAAAAAAAAAGCTGATATTAGATTCTGGCAGTAAGTTAATCATAAGCAAAACTATCATTGTATCACGGTCATTTAAAATTGCAGCTCCAAAATGTCATCTTTTCTTTCTCCTACTGTCACTGGTGAGCTATTTTTACAACAGACTTAAATGCTGTTAATGTTGTCCTTGGGGCTCACTAGTACGCACTGGCACCAGTACCTCCACCTCCCACCTGTGTGCAACTGCTCAGTACTCCCGTCCGTCTCTGTTCAGCCGAGGAGGAGAGGGGAAAAAAAAGCCGCTGGCCTCTTCAATGATCTTCAAATAGGCGACTTGTTTAGTGATCTCTGCAACCAACCAATCATATTGCAGCTGGACTTTGCCTGCTTTGGAAGGCCCTCAAAAAAAAAATGCTCATTACCGGTGAAGGACAGTTGTAGCTGTAACTGAAACTTTGACTTTTTAAAAATGAAGTAAACCATCAAGGCGGTAAGTGCCCATGCCTAATAGATGGACAAGAGAATGGGAGGACAGTCCAGCGAATGGAAAGACAGGTGAGAGAATAAACAGACAGGCATGAGAATACACAGACACAACTGTGTGGGGAGACAGATGAATGAATGCATAGCCCCTGGCAGTCAGCTCACCTGTGACTGTCCTCTGTCCCTCACTCAAACTGTTCCACCATTGATTGACCTGAGACACAACCAACCAATCAGAGATAAGGTCAAAGCATGTGTGAGCGGGGCACGGATGTCAGTCAATCTGCACACCTCCTTGCGGACGTCCCCTCGCTTCTGCGGCCGCACCCTCTCCAGCCAATCGGCTCGCAGTTCATCAAAGTAGCCCTGCACGCGAGACTTGAGCGACTCGTACTGCCAGATAGCCGCCGAGCCGAAGGAGCAGCCTGTAAACTGACAGGAAGTCAGCACATGCACATGCGTCGCTTGGAGGAATGTATGTCCTGTATTGCTCTGCCGATATTAGCTATTAAAAAAAAAAAAAATTGGCTTAGTTTTGCAAAATGTCCCCTCTGTTGTAAAGCTAAACAAATACTAAAAGGCAAAGTACTGGAAAACAGTCAAATTCTCTGTAATTTATGTCTTTATAGTTGTAAGTGTTAAGGGACCAAAAATGTTATTTTATTCATTACATATAATTTTAAAAACTATCCCATCAATCGGTTATTAAAGTTGTATTAAATGTTTTTATGGGGGACACTTGCTGGCATTTTATCATCTTTTTTTTAATAACGTTTGGGTTGAATTTTTTTTCCCCATCAGTGAATTCATTATGGGAATAAATTATACACTGATTTTCACGATTTGCAGGTGAACTTTGTCCCTGGCCTCTATAAATAGTGGGGGTTCACTGTACAGTACAGTATATGGCGATGACCACTTCATCTCAGTAAGGTGCAGTAATAGTTCCCATTCTTTTCAGAAGAGAAAGAATATTTGCCTGTATGTGTATTGGGAGTGGCAGTAAAAAGCTTGATGCCTCTTTTATTTTTTAAAGAACTGTTCACTTTTTCCCAAACTGCTGCTTGTTGTTGAGTGAGTTGAATTTACTGACATCAGACAGTACTCATATCTCAAAATTTTCCTCACCCTTTTGCTTACGCAAAGTCTGCTCATGTCAAAGCAAAGAAAAAAATGAACAATGGCTCATATCACACACAAAAAAACCCCCAACAAACAAAAAAAACTCTGCCACTATTTTCTTAAAGAACCACTATGTATGTGTCTATGACACCACCTACCCCCACGGTGAAAAGCAACGGGCGCACCAGCCGGCCAAATGCTCGCGGCGAGCTAGGTGACGAAGGAGGAGGCGATTCCCAGTGAGGGCTGGATGTCCGCCGGTGGGAAGCCACTTCTGATGAGTCGAAGTGTCCAAGTTCATCCTCAACTTTTTTGCTTTCAGGCTTCTTGGCGACTTTGCGGAAGCTGGAACGCTGCTGCAAGTTGTGAGTCCACCTGCTAAACACACGGAGAACAACAAAACTTAACTCATGAGTGTTGGATGCGTTGAACCTGTCAAGAAATGAGAAAGGGCAATGTCGATATACAAAATATCTCTTATCTTGAGAATTCCATTATGAAAATTTGCAGAATGTGATATATTGTTCCAAAGATGTCCTGAATAAGATGAACAGTTTCAAGTTAGACTGGTTTGAATCGGTTAGGTTAAGAAATATGACATTATGAGTAAAATTTTTAAAACGTCTCCATTCTTCAAAAACAATAATTTTTTTTGGAAAGTGTCGAACTATGTCAAAAGTAGGACTTTTGGATGATGGAAAATGGTTGCCATGGCGTGAATATTTTTAAGTTGGAATTGTTTCAATGGGTCGAGAAATGTGGCAGTAGGAGAACGGCAAATATTGCCGAAATAATAAAACATATTTATATACACGCTTTTTGTAGCATTTACACAATTAATAAACTACACAGACATATCAAAGTAACTTTACAAACACGGCTATCTTGTAAAAAATCTACAATTTACCGGCTGGCCAGCGCCAGTTTCAATTCCACTGTTTTAAGATGCTAACATTGCTAACTTAGAGCAGCGGGGGTTCGCTTGTCTGACAGCCGGCCAGGTTTCCCTCCCTTCGGCTAAGTCTCCCACCTGCCTCCCCTTACGCTCCGGAGAACGTCCTCACTGGTCCGGAAGAGTAAAACGCCGTAGCTCCTCCATGCCGCCATGTTGGAGCAACTGTTCACTTCCGGGTCGGGGAGCGCACAACTGTCAAGAGAAGCTGGAGACGGTTGGTTGAATAAACCAGAAGGACAACGCATAATCAGTCGGACGAACAAAACAATAAATAGGACTAAAAATGTTTTGTTACTTTGCTTCAGTAGATTTTGCATGTGTCTGTACTCTAATCGAGTATTTATTTTACTGATGACTCTTTACTTGGACTGTCTACATTTTCGAACTTCTACTTTCTAATTTTTATTTCATCAAAATAGTCTCGTTCCATACGAATAATCTATACAATTTATTGTGTAAATATTTTTTAACTTAATTACATTTTAGATATATTTAACTTCAGGAAAGGACTTCCACTTCTGCGAGTTTTTTTGCCACATCTGCCAAAATCTTCACAATAAAACACTCACAGAGTTCTTTTTTTAATCTGGTATGTGAAATTAGTTGGACTGTGACGTTATATTAATGTGTGGTTCTATCAGTTGTTTTAATTCACTTTACACAGCTTTCATGAACTGGACACGCAATGAAGCAAGAGGCAAATTGTGAAGACCTAGTAGCGGAAGTGCAGCTCTTATTTCCGGTTGTTGTGTTAGCTGATGTGGATGTGATTTTTGATGCGGTCCGCTGGTGTTGGTTCGGTTCGTTTACGCCCGTTTCGGCTCACCATCCTGGGCAGCAGCAAAGTGTGAAGGACCGCTGAAACCGCTGTGGAGGAGGAATCATGGCCGCCCCTGCTCTCTCCAGTCGTGCCGGCTCGGCTGGAAGCCTCGGGAACAGCCCCACCATGGCCGCCGCCGGCAGACTGCCCCACGGCAGCGGCGGCGTCGGCCCCGAGTTGGACTTCAGGTCAGCATCCCGCATGGAGGATCTGAACCGGCTCATCCAGGAGTTCAGCAAGCACGACCAGCGCGAGTACGACGACCAACGGGCCCTGGAGATACACACGGCCAAGGACTTCATCTTCTCCATGCTTGGTGAGGAGACTACACACACACATAGAAATGTATCGATAAATACACACATTAACACAAATTACAAAAGAAAATAAATAGACGTAAATACACAAACATAAACGCACACACATTTTAAATACACGCACGCAAATGCATACGCCGTGCACGAGGTCCTGAAGGCATTGGATGAAATATGTCCATGGCAACACATAGAAGCTGAAATCTGACTGGGGAAAAAAAAATAAAAAGACACGCACTATGAAATGAATACAAAAGACTTTTGGAAATAAATGATTACCACTTTAATTCCGTTGTAAATGTAGGTCTGTGCTTCTGATAGTGTTTGTCCCTGCAGAGAAGGCTTTGAAGGCACTGATGGCATGCCACTTTTGTAGTGTATTTGCTTTCTTCAATCTTATGTTCTGTGTGTCCTGCTGGGTCCTCCAGGAATGGTCCAAAAGCTGGACCAGAAGCTGCCTGTGGCCAACGAGTACCTGTTGCTGTCGGGCGGTGTGCGCGAGGGTGTGGTGGACATGGACCCGGATGAGCTGAGCGTGTACGCGCGCGGCGCTGACTACGACATGGACTTCACGCTGCTGGTGCCGGCGCTCAAGCTGCATGACCGCAATCAGCCAGTTACACTGGACATGAGACACTCGGCGCTGGGACACTCCTGGCTCAGCCTCCGCCTCTTTGACGAGGGCACCATCAGCAAGTGGAAGGACTGCTGCACGGTGGTGGAGCACATCAGCGGAGCCGCAAACTACTTCTTCTCACCCACGTTGGTGGCCGACTGGTTCTACCAGGCCGTCTCGCTGGTGCTTCTGGAGGTCTGTTTTTGTTTTATTGTAACATAACAGAATAAAGAGACATAGTTTGTAGTAACTAACAACTAATTACATCTTCAAAAAAAAGCACATTACACTAAGGACTTTAAATTTGATTTTTTCCAAAATAGCTAAAGATACTGTAGGTTCCTCAGTATATAAGAACGGAGAGTTTGTGAATAGTAGGGCTGGAACTGATGATTTTTTTTTTTCATAATTGATTAATCTGTCGATTAAATGTTTTTTTTTTTTTTTTTTTTTAGTCGATTGAGATTTTTTTTCAAAATTAAAAGCAGATGTTTGCAAATGTTTTATTTTGATTCAATACAAAGATAATCAGTCTCCTTTCATGTAGAACTTGCTGTAGTGTTGAAGGCGGAAATTCAACTGTTATCCCTCCATTATCCGAGTATCACTTTGATGAACGATTAGTTGTTGACTAATTGTTGCACCTTGAGTGACTAGTGAACAGCAAATATGCAGGGCTTCACTGTATTAATTGTAAATAAGTGATGTCAGAAAAAGTTTACGGACATGCACTGACCACAGAGGCGCAAGAGTTTTGACAAAAATAATTCTAAATTCTGCATTTCCAACTGTCAAGTACTTGTACCTATACAGGTGCAACAGAAACTGATGAGGGTCTTTAATCTAAAAAAATGTATAATTTCATTTGTGGAAGACTGGATGAAAAACATTTTTTTTTTAAATCTGAATTTATTCATGTAATAGTAAAAAGAATTTTGAAAAGTATGCCGTTTTGAGCTTTTTCTTGTAATACTGTATGATCTTTGCTTGAAAAAAAACCTGTTGCTTTTGTAGTAGTTATAAAAAATTATCATGTAATCTGGTATGATTACCATATTGCTTCTGAAACAATTAATGGAAGCTTTGGGCGAAGCACTGACCCCTGAGGTGTACTTCCAATTGTCATAAAACGCTCCCACCTTTACAGGTGCAGAAGAAACCCCAGAGGGGCGTTCCCCGCGTGGAAAAGGTGGAGCGCAACGGCACCGTGGTGTCGGTCATTCTTGGCGTTGGCAGCAGCCGCATGCTCTACGACGTTGTGCCTGTGGTGTCCTTCAAAGGCTGGCCGGCCGTGGCCCAGAGCTGGCTGATGGAGAACCACTTCTGGGATGGTAAGATCACCGAGGAGGAGGTTATCAGCGGCTTCTACTTGGTACCAGCTTGCTCGCACAAGGGCCGACGGGAGAACGAGTGGCGGCTGTCGTTCGCCCGCAGCGAGGTGCAACTGAAGAAGTGCATCTCGCCTGGCCTCATGCAAGCTTACCAGGCGTGTAAGGCCATCATCGTCAAGCTGCTGTCACGCCCCAAGGCGGTGAGCCCCTACCACCTGCGCAGCGTCATGCTGTGGGCCTGCGACCGGCTGCCCGCCAACTACCTGGCGCAGGACGACTTCTCCGCCCACTTCCTGCTAGGTCTGATCGACGACCTGCAGCACTGCTTGGTCAACAAGACGTGCCCCAACTATTTCATCCCGCAGTGCAACATGCTGGAGCATCTCTCAGATGACACCGCCGTGCTGCATGCCCGCAAGCTGTCCTCGGTGCGCTCCGACCCGGCTGAGCACCTGCGCACCACCATCGAGCATGCCAAGGCCGCCAACAGGCTGACGGTGGAGCTACAGTGGCGCGGCAGCACCGGCAACTTGCCATCGCCGCAGTCGGATGCCGGCGGAGAGAACCAGCCGGACGACCGCTTGGCCAAGAAGCTCCAGCAACTGGTCACGGAGAACCCCGGGAAGTCCATTTCGGTTTTCATTAACCCAGATGATGTCACGCGGCCACACTTCCGCATAGATGACAAGTTCTTCTAAAATTCTTTTTTTTTTGCTGTGTGTTGTTTATGTTCCCTGTGTCACGCTGTCAAGTCATCTGCCTATTTTGTAGTCTTCTTAGTTTCCCTCACTCGCTGTATGCTTACCTGCTGGAGGCCTTCAGAATGACATCCACAAAGCCACCCGAAGAACTCCATCTGGATGTCTGCTCTGCTTTCAGGCTGAGATTCACAAATTTACCTGGTGAAATCCACCTGAAGACATCCACCGAAAGAAATCTACATGGACGTTTACCCGGAGATGTCGACCGGGAGAAATAGACCAGGAGTCATCCACCCAAAGAAAACGGCTCGGAGTTGGTCACCCGGAATCATCCTCTTGGATTGACCACCCTGAGTGATCCGCCTGGTGTCGGCCAACCCGAGTCACCCACCTTGGGTCATTCACCTGCAGAAATTGACCTTGACGTCATGGCCCCAGAGGCACACAACTTCAGACATCGAGCTGCTGAAACCCACCCATAGGAATCCAACTGAACAAATTTTGTAAGAAAATTCAGCTGGAAAACTCGACCCGGAGACATTCACTTGCAGGAATCCTCCGAAAAATCCACCTGGAAAAATCAAACTGTAGAAATAGCCCTGGAGAGATTGACTTGGTGTCATCCAACTGGAGGAGTCCCCTCAGAGAATTCTTCCAAGAGGAATCAAGTTGGACAAATCACTTGGAAAGATCAACTTGGAGACATCCACCTTGAGGAATCCTCTAAGAGACATCCACCGGGACAATAACACCTCTAAAAATCAACCTTGAGAAGTTGCCTAGGAGACGTCCGCCCTGAGACATGTGCCCAGAGGAATCCACTTGGAGGCATCCTGTCCGAAGAATCCACCAAGGAGTCTTGCTGTGAAATGGCACCAAGCCAGCCGGCAGAAAAAAAAAAGATCCCATCTTCATCAAGTTGCTATGTGTTCACCCATCAGGACCAGATCACGATGCATGTACGTCAGCTCATCAGAGCAAAAAATATTATACACTTTTTGCGCGGGGTGGTATTCAGTGTGGCCCTTTTGTGGGGAGAAAAAAAATACCTAAAATAGGTAAGCGTTAAACCGGTAAGCTCAAAAGTGAAAATATTCTCAAACTTTTTTATGAGAAAATAATGAGCTCAAAAGATTCCTCAGACCAATGGCAAGTGCGTTTTACTTGTAGCCTGGGACACTCATGATCACAGTTCGATCATGTATTGATTTGTTACGAACTGAATGTGAAATGGATTCTTATTTTCAAACCACAATGCGTGAATGTAACATCAGATGCTACATTTTCAACTCCATTTGGCCTCCACGTGTAGCAGTGCGACAAATTTCAAACTTTTTTTTCCCCCCTTTTTAATTCCACATTGGAACAGCAGCCAGATTGTCACTGTGAAGCTTTTTTTTCACTGTACGATTGTCAACGAGCATCTTTGTTAAAAATGTTGATTGTTTGGACAGTACTCAAATGTAAATAATCCCAAGAAGCCAGTAAAATGACGACTACTGCTTATCATGTAATTCTTATTTTGCACAAAATGTAAAAAGCACCAACCACACTCCTCTTGATTGTAGTTGCACGCTAGTGAGCCATGGTGCTAAATACGCTACTTAGTTTGTATGATGGCCTGTGTGTTGGCATGTGTGCCATTGCATGTTTGCGTTGGCACGTGTGTTAGCAGATGTGTGTGTCGGCGCCAATGTGCGAGTGAGTGTCTCTTCGCGCATGTACAGTATGCTAATATGTTTTTGCATGTGTGTTAGTGACTTTGTCCAAGCGCATTAACGTGTATGTTAGTGCGTGTGCCTGTTAGCATGCGTGTGCTAGTGTGTGTGTGAACATGAGTGGTAGTACGTATTGTTGCCGTGTATATTAATGCACGCGTGTGTTAGTGCGTGTGTCTGTTTGTGTAACTGTTGGCATTGTGTGCGTTAGTGTGCGTGTGTGTAAACGTGAGTGGGAGTTCGTGTGTATGTGCTAGCATGCGTGTGTGTTAGCGCGCGTGTTTACGAATGAGCGCCTTGGCGGATGTATGTTAAGTGTGTTTGCGCGTGGGTATGGTAGCGTGTGTTAGCATGTGGGTTTGTTAGTATGTGCGTGTATTAGCGTGTGTGTGTGTGTGTGTGTGCGTGGGTTTGTTAGTATGTGCGTGTATTAGCGTTTGTGTGTGCGCGCGCGCGTGTGTGTGTTGCCAAATGAGGGTGTCTGCAGGTAGGTGTGTTATGATGCATGTTTGAGTGCGTGAGGATGTGTTAGGATGCCGGTGTGTGAACGAATGTGTTTTCGTTCTTCAGTGTGTGGTTACATGAGTGAGCGTGTTTTTGTGTATTATCGCCTGTGTGCGTGTGTTAGGCCGAGGAGACGCAGCAGGTGCGCAGCCACACTATGACTTTGACACTCCAGAACCAACAACATTCCTGCCTAGTGACACCATTTATAACTGATCACCAATGAAAAAGTACTCTTTCACAGTTTTTTTTTGTGTTTGTAAATAGGGCTCATTTTTAAAAATGACACATTAGCCGGTTTGACCTGCATGTCCAGCTCTGGTCTTTGAGTGCCGCTATCTTGCCTGTATTATATGTCAACCCACGCCAACACAACCGATTCAAAAGATCAGCTCAAAACAGCGGCTTTCGAGAACTGGAGTTGCGCATCCATGGTCTAAATCCTGAAAACCTTTTGTGAGTGAGACCCGACAAGATTCAGAGTGTCGTAAAGTGAGCATCCGCCATATTGACTTTATTGCGGAATCTTTTCATTGCAGGATATGTGTTTTTGCATTTTGGAACAGGAATGAATTAAATTTCAAACTCGGTTTACCTCTTTATATTCAGTGGTACGTTGACTGAAGAGTGCCCCGATTTCAGAGTAATTCCAGGTGCGAGCCGTTGCTTCATTGATTGATTGATTGATTCATTCATTTATCTTTGTGTTACGGGCCAAAATTTGAGTTGCGATTAAACTTCGGATATGCCGCCACTTGAATGAAGTGGGGCGAAAAAAGGAGCAATTTAGGTACTTTAGTTGCAGGAATACTTTGAAGTACGAAGTCGAGACACCACTGCATTCAAAAGACGCTGTCAGATAAAGTGTCTTGATGTCACACTGCTTCCTACTAGTGGCCTGGAATGCACATTACACTCATGGTGGTTTTCAAGAAACTTTTTCAAGCTGCCTCCCCTTTCTCACACGAATGGTAAACACAGCAGGATTGGCTTTTATGCAAACACCGGAGCTCAGCTTTGATTGTACGCCCAATCCCGGTTTTACCGCCGCATCTCGTACCCACTCTCTTCAGCACTCAGGTTTGAAAATCTGCTGCATTGTGACAGAATGTTCCTTCGAGATAACGTGCACTAATCACTCCTCTTTTGTGATGTTTTTTTTTTGGTTTTGCACTGCTGCAGCTACAAATCACTTTTGTATGTTTTATTGTATTTGCTCCATAATGTCATATCTGCTGTATATTGTGGACTTTGTAAATTCACTTTTGTTGAGCCTCAATGACCTGATTTTTTTTTTAACGTTAATATATTTTGTGCTTATTGGTTGTACTATTTTTTTTTTAATTCGCTATTGTCATTCTCCTCGATGCAACCAGCTCGGCAGTCCCCGATATCGTGTCCTGTGTATTATTTAATCCACTCATATGAGCAAGGTCCAGCATTGCAAATTTTTGATAACAAGAGTTTTATATCATCCTTGTGCATTTTAAAGATAAAAGTCGAATTCAACTAATGTGACTCAAGTAACTATTATTGCTTACAGTCTAGTTCAGGGGTGGGCAGATTTTTAGGCTCATTTGATTTTAAAAACAGATTGGCATTTGTGTAAAAAAATATACGGTAATGTATAATTCAAATTTTTTATCTTATTTCTAATTAATATTACAGTTAACAATTATCAAATTTAAAAATTAAATAGACAATTGTAAATGTTACTAATAGTTATGTAATTTAACTAACTATTGAATGAGGTATATTAATTAAAAATACAATTCATTAATTTAAGGACAGCTAAATGAATGCAGCAAATACTGCAAGACTCTTGATAATTTAAAAAAAAAAAGCTTCCTGGGCTGGATTAATACAATAAATTGATTGCCTGTCCTCGATCAAGTTGGTCAAACTGAATTGTATTCAACATGGTTATGACCATACAAAATTAAATAACACCCTGTACACTGTAAGCTGCAGGATAGAGCTGCGTTATAGCAAAGCATCACGGTAGTAGTCCTTCCCGAGCTGGGTGTTTGGAACACAATTTGTGTAACTTTTTTCTTTGTCGTTTGTGTTGTGAAAAGGCTGAATCGTTTCCATCATATTAATAATGCAAAAAAAAAAAAAAACTAAGAAAATGTAACCATGTGGTCTTGCGATTCCCATTCCTTTACCCTCAAGTGCAATTAGTGGAATAAAAAAAAAACACACTTTCAACAAACACACACACACAATGTATGATCCTCCACCCCACTAACACAAACGAGAAGTGCCACAAAAACAGAGACACACACTTGTGGTTGGTTGCAATGTAATCCGTGTGTTGTGCCCTTTTGTTGAGAACATTTGAACTGTGATTTGTTGTGTTGCTGCTCTACCATAGATTTCTTTATGCAAATTTCCACCATGGAGCTAGACTCTCACTCCTCATCACTGTACAATAGAGTCACTATAAAGTCTTTTAACAAAAACTCGTTTTTTTGTGAAGCCTTTCTTTCTTTCTACCTTTCCACCCACCTGTTCCCAGTAAGCCTGTTCGCCTGTGGGATGTTCCAAACAGGTGTTTGATGAGCATTCCTCAACTTTCTCAGTCTTTTTTGCCACCTGTCCCAGCTTTTCTGGAACGTGTTGCAGCCATAAAATTCAAGGTTAATGATTACTTGCTAAAAACAAATCAAATGTATCAGTTTGAACATGAAATATCTTGTCTTTGTGGTGTATTCCATTACATATAAGTTCAACATGATTTGCAAATCATTACGTTCTGTTTTTACTCATGTTTAACACAACGCACAACGTCCCTACTTCATTGGAATTGGGTTTGTAGAATAGAACATTTACTTTTGGTCTGTCATGGACATTATTTTGAGATTGAGGTATTAACATTTAAGATTAAGGACTGAACGCAGACTTTTCATTGTCTTTCTTGAGTTTGAGGACAAAAAAAAAATCACCTCTGCTCTGTCATGGACGTTGTCTTCATGTCTGTCTGACATGGTCGACAAACATTGGAGGAATGCTGAATTGGAAAAGAATAGAATGGGATTGAAACACGGAGCGGGAGAGATCTAGAGAGAGAGAGACATTGGAAGTGAGGGATGGGAGACATTTGAAAAGAGAGCACTTGGGAGACAGAGTGACAGGATGACAGGAACGAGACATGGGATGGGTGAGAGAGCTTGGGGAGAGAGACACTGGAAACAAGAGATGGAGAGAGATTGCAAGATGGGGAGGGAGAGATTGGAGTGGAGAGAGGGGTGAGAAATGTTGGAAAAGAGGGCGGAGAGGGTAAAGGGACTGGAAAAGGGGAGAGAGATGTTGGGAGATTGAAAAGCAGAATGTCAATCGGGAGAGTTTGATTGGATGAGAGAGAGGAGGTGAGAGAGACATTGGAAAAGAGAGGGAGGAGGGAGAGGGTAGAGCGACATTGGAAAAAAGAGAGAGAGAGAGAGAGATTGGAATAGAGTGGGAAGAGAGAAGGGGGTGAGAGACATTGGAAGACGGAGAGAGAGCGGCACAGGTGAACGCGCGAGCCTCGGCGGGAAAACAAGCCGTCTCCTCCGCCGCATCTCGGCTGTTTTTGCCGCTCTTTCACCTCCATTTTGGCCCTTTTTCTCCCCTCCAGGGTGGACATTGTCGGCCGGGTACAGCGACCCACCGGCTACGCGTGTCTACTCGCTCAGCTGTGCGAAGAAGGAGGTGAAACGAAGAAGAAGAAGAAGGAGGAGGCGACGACGAGTGGATTTCGGCCAACACTTCGCCGGACTGAGCCGCCAGCCGAAGCTTAGCCGAACCAAGCCTAGCCTAGCGTGAGATGGAAGGCAAAGAGAAAGCACCAGCAGGTAAGAGGGAGATATGGACGACGATGCAAGTTTGTGGCGCGGGATAGCGGGCAGGGAAGTTGGGGAATAGAGGGTGGGGACGACCGCGGTGGGAGGGTGGAGAGAGTGATGCATGTTGGGTAGAAGTGGATTACACTGCGGTATCCTCAATGCAGCTGTTCATCCCTAGATCCTAGGTGTGGTTATTATGGGATGGGGTGCAAGCAGTCTGCATGTGCGTGTGTGCGGAGGTTTGCTATGGGTTCGGCTGTTAACATAAGTAAATAAATAAAAACATTTACCCCCCAAAAAAATCATGATGCAGCAAAACACAGTAAAACAGGTGGGCCACTGGGAGATAGACAGGTAGCCACGACAGAATCAGAGATGGGCAGAAAGACAAATGGACAGATGGACAAGAGGACCGAGAGACATTCATGAGAAAAACATCCTGAGAAGGGAGAGGGAAGCAGGAGCCAGCAAGATAGAGATTTTAGCGAGACAGGGTTGTAAATAAAGACAGTGAGACAGATAGGGATAGTGAGAGACAGAGGGGAGGAGAAGCCTCCAGAGGGGATGTCATTGTCAAACAAAAACGGTGACTTCCAGGAAGTTTGCCAGACAGGTAAGGAGGTAGAGTGCACAACAGGGAAAGAGACATTCCTGGAGATTCTAATGAAGACCGAAAGACAGGTGAGAGTAGCAAAGGACAAATGGACCAAGCGGGACGAGAGACAGACCGGCAGGCAGTTCAGAGAGAATGACAGGCTGGAAAGATGAAAGTGGTGGAGAAGAGGACAGAGAGACCGTCTTGAAGATCAAAAATGGAGACAAGAAAAGAAAGCGAGTGAGAAGACTGAGTTTAACGGAGAGGAAGGTGGACAGACTGGTAACACTTGGCAGAGAGTCAGACAGGAGGTACATAGACACGAGACGGAGTTATAAATTGATAGAAAATATGTACAATACTAGATTAGGTAGTTTCAGTAAATTCTTAGCAACTGAACTTTATGTCGCAAACTTGCTGACTTGCTTAAAACTAATTACTGGTTGTGTATGTTTGTGATTGGGACAAAGTTGCTGTTTGATTAGAATCATAGCATTGTCCATGTTTAGTGAAGATTGTTGCGCGACACTTTCAAATGTACTGTATGAAAGACAAGCTTAGAGAAGTCTTCTTTGACCAACCTCTGTGTACACTGCTTTTGGTCTTTGGATGTTATTTCTTCTTGCAAGAAAATACATAACCTACGAGCATATCCAGGTTTCCTATCCGAATCAGAATCCTCATCATATTTATTAGCCAAGTTTGTTAAAACGCACAAGGAAATTGGTCATTTGAACCGCTCTATTACTGCAGCCAGAATAACGAAATATACATCCAGGACATAAAAACTCTTGTTAGTTGAAAGTACAATGCGTCAATAACCTGTAGAAAGTAAAACCTTGTATGTATCAAGACATACATAACAGAAAGGTGGACAATAGAAGAATGGGAAACATTAATAGGGATTCTAATGGAAGCAGAAAGACAGGTGAGAGTAGTGAGGGACAAACACAAGTGGGCCAAGGGGAAGAGAGATAGACAGGCTGGAAAGACAAATGGACCAGATGACAGCTCATGAGGATTAAAAACAGAGAGACAAGAAGTAAGAAAGGCACGTAGGAAACGGAGAGACAGACATGAGGGACAGATTGTGTTCATGACGGCAGTGAGACAGCTAGGAGTAGTGTGAGACAAGTTGCAGACATTAATGAGGATTACAGCAGAGACACACAGACAGGTAAGAAGAACAAGAGACAGACAGATTGACCTGAAAGAGAGAGACAGGCACAAAGACATTAGTGAGGATTGTTATGAAAATACTGGTGTAAACCAGCTAGGCAGAGACAGACAGGTAGGTAGAGAGACAGACATCAAGACTGGAGAAAAACAGAAATGATTGAGGATTAAAAAAAATGGAACGAGAAAATGATTCATTATTTATTGGAACAATAAACAATGGTAAGACATGCATGCCCGCATAAAAATCCCCAAAAAGAGAACAGTAGTTGTTATTTACTGTCAATCATTTGCAAACCTCTTGAGCATTTATTCGTTTTTCTTGAAATCCAGTTTAAGGTACACGTACTAGTGTGCTCTTTGTCCTCACAAGTAAGACTCTTCTTGGACTGTCTGTGGATTGCTGCGACAGATCAAATTTTCCTTTACTGGAATTCCACTTCGCCCGACATGAGGTGGAATTAGAAGCCACTTAGTAGCCGGAATGGTATCGTCAAAGAGCAGACTGCTGAGTCATTCCCACTTTTGATGCGAAGTGTTTCGCTGACATGAGCACAGCCTTCGCTCACTTTGTATCCCGCGGCGGGTCCCGAACCCAAGATGGCCGTCCGTCCGCCATAAGAACATATTGGCTGTCCTTTTTTAGCAGGGAAAGACCATAAATAAAGGGCCATGTGATGTAAGGCAAGTTGCAGCTGAGTTGTTTCGAGTATGGACGTAAAGTGAACCGTCATCCTCTGTGTGAGTGTGGGTTTGTTTATAGCAGACATCAGTGTGTTGTGTGTGTGTGTGGGTGTCTGCGTGTGTGTTTATTTCTATTGATTGTGGGATGGGATCGACACCATTATGGAATGTTGTGGACCACTGCCAGTAACCTGAGAGACTTCAACCCAAAGGACGAGTGTGTTCTCCTTGTTGTCGCTCTGTTGAGACACACCCAAACACGATATACAGTGAACCCCAGTGTAACGCGGGGATAAATGACATACCCGGAAAAAAAAGCACAATATAGAAGATATTCATGAAAAAGAAATTCTTGGGTTGAATGATTTTGGGAAAAAAAAAAAATCCCCCACGGTAATTTTGTGATTTAAAATGCAATTTTTTGTTTCACAGTCCTCTCCCATGATTTGTTCGACAAACTCAAGCAATAAATGAATCTGTATTACGATAAACAATATCAAGTTTGTATATACTGTATATAGATATGTTTTGGTCTTATAGGTGAAGTTTACAATAAAGGCAAATGAACCATGAATTACTGTAAAAGACTTTATTTACCGACCTCAGTTCGAGTTATTAAAACTCATTCACTCCCAAAGACGTTTTTAAACGTCTTTTCAGACTTGGTCTAGAATTGGGTGGGACTGAATGAGTTAAATTGCCAAACACTTTGACTTGCAGTCTGTTTTTAAGCATTCGCTACGACATGTTGACAAAATTCTACTGAACAAACGTGGCATAGGCGTAAGTCAGTAAGTCATAAGTCAGATGCTACAGTGGATATGAGCCCTCAAACAACTGCTACTTTCACTCACACAGAGCAGCAACTCATACAAACAGCATTCAGCAATACTTTTTCTGCTCTCTAAAAACAACCGTTATTACTGGAGCTTTGTTGAGGACCTTCTCCGCCTCTACTTCTAGCTCCTAATTATGCTGCATCACTTCCACTGTGTGTGTGTGTGTGTGTGTGTGTGTGTGTGTGTGTGTGTGTGTGTGTGTGTGTGTGTGTGTCACTTGGTAAACTTGTAAACGCTTTGCAGATGCCAGTGCCAAGCGCACTCTGACAGACTGTTGAAGTAATTCCGCTAATGAGCTTTTAACGGATTTTTCGCAGTCAGTCACGATGAAGATGTCACTCTGATATTTTTGTGGGATTCAGTGTAGTCTCAGAGTCTCCAGTGGCGCGTCTCGTCTTGAACAGCGTCTGTCTTTGGTATTTTTCAGTCTTTCAGTCTTGAGTTCTGGTTCAGTCTTTGCGAATGATTATATGGATGTTGCATTTGCGAATTGAGTTGTATACATTTTATGAATTTCGATTATGCTAATAATGAAGATAGCATTAAGTGCAGCTAAAATGGTCACTGCTAGCCTTGTTTTCCTTGTCTTTATCCAAGCTGTCAGTCAGCCATTCTGTCAGTTTCAGTTCAGGTCGGCTACTTCTCCTTAACGTCGGTCAATTTCCAATACCTTTCAATCTTTCCCACTCATGTCAGTCAACACCTTGTCCGCTCAATCAACTTGTGTTGCTTTCAATCAATGTGAATTTCCATTCATTTCACTTGCACCTTCCAT